CCTTCTTAATGACACTTGAAAAGCAGAGAGAGTATATAAGGCTAAAATAGGAGAAAAATATTCTGGTATATGGTGCATTGTGTATAATCTGGCTACATCATAGTTACCTGTATTGCAATAGCTGTTGAGGTCATGATGCTACATGTATCTAGAATTCCATACATTTCATTTGTCCAAATTCTACAATTGGAACAATTTGTGCCCCATTTTTCCTTGTTATTTACTTTAACTTTTAGCAAGTGTAATACTTTTCACTCCTATTGATTTGTTTTTGTGAGAAAGTTACATTTATTTACCTTTATTTAAGATAGATAATGGTAGACGTAAATCTTTAGTTTTTCTGCCCACATGTACATATGTACTTGTAAATGAGCACAGTTGCAAAACTAACAGGAACCGGTGTATCAAATTATGAAAATATGATCTATCCATCTGCTGCCCCCTGTTTAAGATGGCAATAAATTTTAAAAAAGAATTGTCACTGATGAAAACATAGCAGCACTGCAACGACTGCAGTTGAAACTGTGACTCGCGTTACCCTACAGCTAAATACTGTGACTCGCGTTACCCTACCGCTAAATACTGTGACTCGTGTTACCATTTTTCAGTGCCAGATGTATTATCCTAGGCAGATAACCTAGGGTTATTGTTAATGGTTTGTTGCACATTGAAGGAGGAGGTTTATAATTGTTAACTCAATACCCCTGGGGTTTTGGTATGGGTATTTTGGGACTCGCGTTACATCATCACCACCACTTGATTCAGCGGGTCTGTCCTGAAGAAGTTAGAACAGACGTTTATCATAAAATGTAATGACAAAATGCTCTCATGAAACTATATCAAAATTTTAACGCGACATGAAAAATAAAGTGGGGTTGTTTAGGAGGAATGTGTTATAGCTCTTTTGATATGTCAAAACTAAATAATTACCACACATAATGCTTAAAAGGTGAATTTTTCAAGTTAAAAAGCCAGCAAAGATTAGTTAAGGACTTTTTCCAAAGCTTTAGTCAATATGCTATTGTCAAAATACAACCAAACTAAACAACTCGGTGAAAAAAAAATTGAGGCCATTTTCCCTTTTGACACAGAAATGCCCGACTATGTTTTCATGTTTTTGTGTAGCTAGCTTTAGGCGCTACACGCACAGTCAATTGACGGATTTCACAAAGCATGGTGTATTTTAGAAATAGTCTGGACAGGATATGCAAACCATTTGACAATAAAACTGCAAAGGTCT